TAAGTCATATAAATAAATAGTTAAAAATTAAATCATGAAAATTTTATTACTTAAAGAGTTTTCGGTTTTTGGAATTAAAAACCCACCAAAACCGAAATCAACCCACCCACCGAGAACCTTGGGAACCGAAAACCACTTGGCCGAAGACCCTCTAGACCGAGAACCCTTGGTTCTCGGTTGGGCTTTTTTGACCGAAATCAAGGTTCTCGGTTGGAAGATAAGCCGAAAACACTAATTTTAATTGGTGGCACACTACTCTAGGTGATAAAATCCACACATTGATGCATATGTCACATTTTCATCCATATTAATATGTTAAAGTGAAAACAATCCTCACAATTAACATTCCAACTTCAAAATCCTTCTCATTTGTTCTCAAAGATCATAAGAACTTCTTTAAATCTTCATATCTTCGAGAACCATTTCTAGTACATCGTCAAACTCCTCAAGAGCATCATCCAAAATCCCCACAAAACCACTTCCTCAGGATTAATTCCTAGAGTAATTGTAAGTATTTCTTACATAAACTAGTGTTATTTAACACTTTAAAATACTAATCAATCTAATTTACACATTTATTATATAATTGAATGCTATTACAATACAGTTTACAATTTTGGAAACATGCATTAAAATGGTTTTATATATGTATAAAACTACATATTACTATTTTAAGTATGGAAATTACTTGTACACTTCGGTCTTGGAACATTTAGGATTACATTACATATAAAAGAGAATATTGGATTTTCTTGAAGAGCATACTATCATTTTCAAGGAAAAAAGACATATATTTCTCATATAAAACGCTTATGAACTCACCAACTTAATTGTTCACACTTTTTCAAAACCACTTGTATTCTCAGGGAATCAGTAGACAGGTACCCACATAGGTTTTGTGAAGATGGAGCTTAGCATAGTTACGTCTTATATTTTGCCATACATTTTTGGGAGTCAAACAAACAATGATTCGAACTCAATGTAAATATTAAATTGTAAATACATTGGTTGTAATGCTTTGATCTCTATTATTCAATTGTTATGATACTGTACATGACGTCATCCGACCTCAGACGTTTCCACCGTCTCACCGGTTTGGGGGTGTAACAGATTGGTATCAGAGCATTGTTTATAGTGACTTAAGTATATCAAACCACATAAGATATACAACTATAAACACAATGGGGCTAAAACACTCTGACCAAGGAGTATACTTTTAAAATATACTAATATTTTTATAAAAGTATACATACATGCATACATACTAGAAACAGTATCATGCTGAGAACTATATAAAAGTATTTAAATAAGTTTAACGTTGCAGTTAAGCCTGAATAGTTATGTAATCATATATGAGATAAATATAGCCTGATTAACTATATTTATTTGAGATACGACCAACATGTGTTTAGGAATGATCGTGGTGATCAACGGGTCTAAAACTTACCAACACTCAATACAAGGAAACTCTCAAACCAAACATAAAGTTTAAAATACTATAGGAGTATTTTATGATACTATGAGACTATACAAATAGGCTCTTTATGTGTCTTTCATACTGTTATTCTTGTACAATTGACATATACATGCTTGTATTTAAGATGTTCTAATTCAATAACATCTTTAAACCTTATGGAAGAAATATGACACCAAAGAAGTCAAAGAGGAACAAAAACAACACCCCAACAACTCCACCACCTCCACAGATGGACACTTCCATCTTCCAAGCTGTTGTAACAGCCGTTATGGCGCAAATCAGCTCGAATAGAACCAATGGGATGAGAGGTGGTACAAGTAATACTAACCAGGGAAATAACCAAGGGAACCCAAGGGAATGCTCCTACAAAGACATCACAAATTGTAAACCAAAATCTTTCAATGGCACTGGAAGTGTCATTGTTCTGACACACTAGTTCGAAAAGACAGAATCAATGTTTGAAATCTACGCATGCCCAGAGGGAAGCAAATTCAAATTTGTAGCCTGCACTTTCGCTCATAGAGCACTCTCCTAGTGGAATGATTATATCAAACCGTTGACTCTCCCAGTGGCCAATGCCTTAAGCTGGGAAGACTTGAAAATTCTGATGTTAGGAGAATATTGCTCGAGGGGCAAGGTACAAAAGCTAGAGCAATAGCTATGGAACCTTACCATGAAGGACTCTGACATCAAAGCCTACACTACCATATTTAGTGACTTGGTGGTATTATGTCCCGGGATGGTCAGCTTAGAAAGTAAGAAAGTGGAACGGTACATCTGGGGACTATCCCCCTAGATTCAAGGGAATGTGATTGTTGCGAACCCATCCACCTTTAACAGTGCCAAACACCTGGCACAAACACTTGTGGATCATGGAGTCTGCTAGGGCTTTATGACAGCTACTTCCATGCAAACCAAAGGAAGTGACAATAAGAAGAAATTTTGGAACAAAAGGAAGGGCCAGTCGACACAAGAGCCCTTAAGGAAACAACAAACGGTTGTACTCCATGCTGCTACTATCTCTGACACTCGACCACCCACCAAACCGTATGTTGGAACTCTTAAAAAGTGTAACTAGTGCAACTTCCATCACACTGGAGTCTGCCAAGAAATGTACTACAACAATTGAAAAAAGAAGGGGCATACCGCCCAATTTTGTAGTACACCGGCACATCAAAACACCTAAGCCACTAATGCCGGAGTGAGCCAGGCTTGCTACGGATGTGGCGAAACGGGGCATTTCAAGAGGGATTCCCCAAAAGTGAGGAATGTCGGAGGTGTGGGAAGAGTTTTAATGATGGGGCACGAGGAGGCCGTAAATGATCCCATTGTGGTTACCGGTACGTTCCTACTCAATAACTTATATGCATACATACTTTTCGATAGTGGTGCGGAGAAAAGTTTCGTAAGCCACAAGTTTAAACTTTTACTTAAACTAAATCCCCAATCACTAAAAGACACATTCACCGTAGAAATGGAAAACGGAAAGACAGAGAACACTAATGATATATACATAGGATGTACCCTCACCGTAGTTATGGACTTAGACACTAATCCAACAAGTATGACCTCATAATTTGATTAGCAGTCGTAGCTTTCAATAGCCATTGTCGAACTCTGTCCTAGTCAGTTACTGTTGTGATATGCCGAAGAGGATAAGGGCGAAACCGTAGGAAAGATCCTTGTGAATATCATCTCCTGTTATCAGAGTGCAAAAGAGAGAAATGACCATTAGTTAGTGTCCGGGAGTAGTTCGTGAGACGAAGCTCCGACGATCAAGTCAGTATGAGATATGAGAAAGATGGTAGATGATTATAGGAAAGAGAGAATTATGTCCCCTTCCTAGTAAGCAAGAAGGATCCTTTTATTCATCTTTTTGGGGCATATCCTTAATCGATTCTATTGAAGATTCCCTCATGGGGTGTAACGTGGCGGACCTATATTGGTGGGTACTTCATCACGTCTTTTGCCTCATTCCATCATTGGCTGCGAGGGGGTCTTCTAAATGTTTATGAAGATTGTGGTTGTTGTCTAATGGGTGAGTGAGACTCTCTGATTGGTCCCACGTTTGTCGGGTTGTAACTTCATGGAGAAAGGGTCAAGGCACAGTTTTGCACCTTAGCCGCCATATTAGTGCTCCTCGCATTGGCGAAGGCCCTTCTCTACTTTAGACTAGGTTCTGAACAGGCCAAGCCTGATGTTAGTTTGACTTCTTTTTTGACGTTCCCCTGAGGGATACGTCAACAAGTCTCTTACACTCGTAGGTGTATGTGTCAGTTTGACAGTGTTGCCATTCGAGTCTATATCTTGACATGTCTATGCCAGTGATTAGTTCTATCATTTTACAGGCTTTAGGTAATGTTGTTAATGTGTGTCGGTTCCATTGAGAGTCGATTCGTGCCGGAAGTTTTGCCTTTAAAATCCCCCCTTTTCTCCCAGACTCTTCATCCTCACATCCCCATTTCGGCTTTATTGTGTTAATCTGGATATCCTGTTAATTTTCTAGTTGATTGTTTGTCCTTTCGCGATAATAGACCATTACGGTAGAGTCCCTACTGCTGAGGAGTTCTAATTTTGCAAGATCGCTTTGGTTTCTTACTAGAGCACGGGGTAATGGTTCTGGTAAAGGGGGTGTCAATCTATGATCTCCCTCAAGAGAAGGTGGGGGTTTTGATCCCCCTATTTGAGGTAGGGTCACGCTTGCCGACATTTGATTTCTTCAAAATGATCGTGGACCACTATGGTCTTTCTGTCAATGAGTTGACCCCGAGCATTGTTAATAAAATCGTCGGTTTGAACTAAGTTTTCGATCTCTAGGTTGTGTACCAACTTTCTAGGTTTTAGTTACTTCTTCTGTTTGACTACAAATTCCTGGGTCCGCAATTTAGCGAAGAGAAGAGGCATTCATCAGTTGATCTCTGAACAAGACGCTCTGAGGAAAAATTGGCAACGTCAGTAGCTTTGGGTTAACCAAAACATTATAGGGCACGGGTCTCATAGAACCCAAGACTTTTCTGATTGTCTCCCCAAGTAGTTTAGGAGAAATCTGACTCTTGGCAAGAATCTAGGAAACATCACTATCACTGGGAGGAACTGGGAAGATTTTGTTCTTGCAGCAGCCGTTATGGCTGCCTGGAGGGCTCGCAGGAAGATGGCGTTGATGTTCGTCGTGAGATGCGGCATTAAATCATCTCCTCCCCTCCCCCCCCCCCCCCGCCTTTTTTTAAAATAGAGTGAGGATAATATATCTTGTCGTCTTGTGGGATCTTACTGTTGGTGTTTGTTTTCACAGGTGCTGAGGCCGAGTTTTCTTTGGAGATGGCCCTGCATGGTCACTATCAGGGTAAGATTTGCCATCATGAGGTCGATCTTATAGAGACTTTTCCTCCTCCTATTTCTAAAATACGCATGCGAGATCTTGTTGGATTGCTCTTGGTGGAAAGGGGACATATAGGTTCTACCGGGCATGCATCGCCTTCCCAACTGACCATTAGGGTTGGTTCCCCAGTTTGTTAGCCAATTAATGTTCCTTCTGGTTTGCCTATGGGAGCAAAAACAGGAAGAGACATTGCACCTATTCGAAAGAGGCATAATTTGCACATGGTGCTGTCGTCGGACGAGGATACAAAATCTGACGATACGCGCCTTTGCCCTCGTAAAGCCCATAGGACTTTATCTGTGGCCAGGCTTCTTGGCGGTATCGGGGATATTCTCGGCGGTTAATTTTTTTGACTGAGCAAAAGGAGATAGTGGTAGTTCCTAGCTCTCCGTAGGCGTCACTTTCACTAATCATTGGTTCTCCCTTGGTTAATCATGATTCAGGCTTTATATCTGGGGGTGTGTCGGGTTCACCTAAAGATTCCTGTCAACGCGGGAAGCCTTCTCTTATCGATGGAACATGGACTTCATCTCACTCCCTATCTTTTGAGGCCTACACTTCAGGTTGGGCGATTAATGGAGATTTCTTATTGTCGGAGGAGGTTACCACCCATGAGTGGAGTAGGTGCGCTCATCCTCGCCACAATGAATTCGCTTGCGGTTCAATCAAGTGCTCGCATGGTCGGCGACCTTTGTTACGCCGCAACCCACACATATGCTCTCATGGTTGTCGCTGTTGACCGGGTTCTTCATGCTGGCATGAATCAGAGGCGGTTGAAAGTATTATAGCGTACCTTGGCAGACATGAGGGAGGAAACTCGTGACTCAGAGGTGGATTACCAAGTTCTTGTTTAGCATAATTGCATTGTGGCCTGCGATAAGGCCGCTTTAGAGGATCAAGTGGCTACCTTGGGGGACCGATCTAAGCAAATTGAGGACCAAGTGAGTTCTCTTGTCCGGGAGAAAGACGTGCTTGCGAGTAAATTGGCCAGTTGCCAACGTCAATTGGACCATGCTCGTGTGGATGGAGCGGTCGCTCAAGGTAATTTGTAGTGGATGCTGGAGAAGGGGGTGGTTCGCGTAATTGACAAGGTCATCGAGAGCATTGAATTCGCCAACGGGATCCGGGGTGTTTGTGAGGCATATGAAGCCCTTGGGTTTGAAAAAGGGAAACGAATGGGTGGTCACTCTGCAAGTGTCAGGGAACCTAAAGTCCCAGATCCTAGCCGTGTTGCAAGAAGGATTGAAAAGGTGGATGTCACCCTATCGTCCCTGGCTGAGACGGATTTTGCAGGCCTCTTTCACTTGGGGGAGATGGATTATGACGACTTCTGCTAGTTTTGTGGAAGGCCGAATTTGGGAGGTTCTTCCTCAGATTTTGTGGGATGATTTGTGTTTTTGCCCTTTTTCCTGTTTTGTAGTTGCCTTTGAATGTATTATGTGTATAGTAAAGAATGATAGTAACCATAAACTATGTAATTTGTTTTTTATTTTGTATGGAAGTGTTCTTTTCCGTTTTCTTTTTGTATGTATACACATTGTTGTGGCATGTAAACACATACATTATGATTTGTCATGTGACATCGTTGAGGATCGGCTATTCTACCGCACACTCCCTTGTTCTAGGGTTAGTGTGATTAGTTAGGCTTAATGTGTTAAGTTGTGCAATTTTAGTTATTTCTTAGGACTGTATTGTATGGTCAAGCTACCAATACATAGGCCGAGATCGTCACCTCAAGACCTTTTACTGTTGTGATATCAGCGGAAAGGTTATGAATCTTTAAAAACCCCTTGTACGGTGCCATTAATTTTGATTTATGTGTTCTCAGTTCTAAGATGTGATTGGCACATTGTAGGTAAATATTATGACTCTTTTAAGACCTATGATTGCATCATTGTATGGATTTTTCTCAAGTAGTGTAGGTGATCAACCATTGTTGCTACTTGGAAAACATGCACAACCTCTATACTTTGTGTTTTTGCAATACAGGATTCACGAAAGCTCATTAAAAGTGAAAATTATATTATTTCTTGAAAAAGAAAGGAAGACACGGGATAGTAGACCATGAATGTAGAAGTGTCGGGGTGTATGCCTAGTTTTTGCTTTGGCACCTGGAGTATGGTTATCCTGTGCGGACTTCGACCATACTTATGACAACCCGGAATTTCTATCTTGTACAACCATTCTATTCAATCAAATTCAGACTTGTTTCTGCTATCTTTTAGCATTATTTAGGGTCTGTTTGAGTGTTCTATGCATAGTACATTCAAATAATGGGTGTTTGGAAGTGTCTACTAGAGTTCATGATGCAGCATTCAAGCTGGAAAACTTAATCAAATGGAGTTTACGGCCGTAAACTTGGGTTTATGGTCATAAACCCTTGGATGGCCGTGAAATCATGCCTAATGAGTGACATTCCTTCTTTTTCCTTCACTTCTCACACATCCAAGTCTAGAAAATCAATTATCTCTCAAGTATCATCAAGCATTTTCATCTTAATCTTCAAATATGTAAGTGTTTCTTCCATTGTTTAGTTGATACCTTACTTAATCTAGTGAAACTCCATGATTTCACCCATGAAATTACTGCTTTTGGTTAGATCTTCAAGATCATCATATTTCACCAAGAACACCAAGAACACACACTTGTTTTTGGGTCGTGAACTCCATAGGAACCTTCAAAAGTGTAAGTATCTCTTTTATCTTCTACTTAGTCTTGATAAACACATGATTCCTAGGGTTGAAACATCATAAAGTGCATGAACATCAAGAGTTTACGGCCGTAAACCCTTGTTTTGGTGCATGTCTTGGCCGCAAACTCGTCTTAAGTCCAAACCTAGTACCTTAGTGAATGCTAGTTAGGGTCGTAAACACCTCTTAAAGTCATGCCCTATGGTCGTAAACTCCATGGTCGTGAACTCCTTTGTATGGTCGTAAACCCCCTTAATGCAATCATATGTGATTATTACACTCCAATCTAAGTGTTTCCTAGTCCCTAAGGTGGTTCTCTATCATGATTAGTTGTTATATACACTAATTATATCCATATATGTGTCATTATATGCATAATAGGCTCCTTTTGTGCTCGAGGCATCACTTGACACCTATCATCCTATATCGATCTTACATTCGAATCACTCACTACAGGTGAGTTCATACCCCTAACTTACCTTTTAAATTATTTTAAATGCTTTTATGGGGGAATACAAGTTGAAACATTATAGTTATTATATCAATCACATGTGATTAATAACCATCAAGCAAATGACTTTCTGATACTTCGAAACTGTGTTATCAAACAAACTACTTCAAAACATTTTATAAAACTCTTTTATATGCTAAGCTCTTTATTAAACTCCTTTAAACTTATATATTCTCAAAATCATGTCTATATAGATATAGTTATATAAATAAGATTGAAAGGGCTTAGGACTAATAACTCGCTTTATTTCCTGTTCCTCGTTTGGTTGTGGACTTAGGGTATCGGTTGTTTGTCCGAATGTCATTTGAATCTTAGTTATATATTATGTATATATGTATAGATACAAAAGTTCTTACATTAGTTCAATGCCTTTGGGTAACAAAAGTGTACAAACATACTCATTTATTCGAACAATATTACTAGTAAACTATAATAGGTATAGTTTTAGAGACTACTACTCACTATTTCTAGTACCATAAAACATAGAAGAGTCAGTTCATACATGAGTCAGTTCAAACATACTATAATGAGAAACAGAAAGAACATACTATAATGAGAAACAAGAAGGAACATACTATACACTATACAAAGAGAACTTGCTATATACTATACAAAGAGAACATAGTATACAGATAAAAGAATTAGCCCTTGTATATTAGGGTTTACATTGTGTATTTACTAAACAACCTGCTATTTTAATGAGAAAACATCAATTGGAAAACCCGTATGTTTGAATTTCCATAGCCGTGGTGATACTAAACATTGAACCAAAGCGATAAAACACTAATACACACTCATCGGGAGTTTAGGACACTAAAACAAGGCTTAATGGAGTCTGCGAACCTTGCATTGCGAAGCCAGACACTAAAAAAGGTCACAAACGAAACCTCCCTCAATTGTATTCACTCTATTTCTGTCTATTACAAAATATCTCCCAAATCTCTCTCAAAAGTTCCCATAACTTTTCATAGTCTTTCGGGCCATCCCGGCCCTTAACCGGGTCAAAAACGGCTTGAAACGGGGTAAAAACGAGTAAAACAGCCTTAAGGAGCCGAAACTCCTCTTAGAGGCTGAAACCTCTTAGCAACCGAAACCCTAGGGCCGAACCCTCTTGGCAGCCGAATCCCTAGGACCGAAACTAAGAAGCAGCCGAGACCCCAGCTGCCGAAACCGAGACTGCTGATGGACCGAGACTCACCGAAGAACTGAACCCACTGAGGACCAAAACCGTTGAACCGAGCCTCGCTTCTTCAGCCCCGCCTTCACACCTTTGGTTCTCTATTTCTCTCCTCTAGGTCCCTTCCCTACTTTCGGTTCTCATGCCCAACCGAACTTCGCCTTCGGTTCTAAGCTCCTTAGGTGCCGAACCTTCGCGACTTCGGCCAGAATTCCGAATTTTTGCCATTTTTGCCTGATTTTCAATCTTTTTAGCATTTTAAGCCCGTTTTTCATCATTTTAAAGTGGGATTCTCACCCAAAACTTTATTTAAACATATTAAGACCCATATTTCGTAATTATTCACGTTTTTAATGCAAATGTTATCCAAGATTTAGTGGTTGGAGTAATAAAGGTGGAGTGTTGACTTTCCTTTAGCTCATGACACAAGCAACCCCTCACACCCACTCCTTGACCAGCCACACTCCTCCCACCATTCTTAGGTATTGTCAATGTACTTTTTCATCCTTTCTAACCTTTTTCCCACATTATTAGAGCTGGAACATCACTCCACACTCCTCACTTCACTCATTTCTCTCAATTTACCAAAAGATCAAACACAACTTTCTCTCACTTTCTCTCTAAAAAATCGAGATTGAAGGCTAATCATCAAGCTTTCTTACATTCTTGGTAAGTATGATTCATCCTCCTTGTGATGATTACACTTCATTTTACTCAAATCATTGATTTCTTACACAAACTCCATCATTATTGTGTTAGATTCTTGAATCTTCAAAGTAATCCTTCAAGTGTTCTTGAGTTGAACACTTCTCTTCTCCAACATCCATCCACCAAAATCATTCAAGGTGAGTTCATACCCCTATATTTTCATATTTTCTTAAGTTTTAAGGGGGGGTGGGTGGGAATACAAGTTAAATCACCAAGAACACAACTAAATGTTTCTAACAACTTTCATCAAAAAAGTTGGACTCCATTCACGGACTGTTCTGGTCAACTAAAACATTTTAGTTTTCAAAACTGTACAAGTTACAAGTATTTCAAGTTCTTATATTTAAAATGGCTACTTGCAAATCTCCATACAATTTTTCTACAATTTATGGTGATTTTTACAAAACTGCCTATCATTTCAAGAACCAATCTGGACCAGTCTGTGTTTATGGATGTTTTCACCTAAGTTAGAGGTCACTACAAATCATGGGAAAATTTAGAAACAAACTAGACTCATTTTCCAAAATCCCAGAATTTACGAATTCTGATTTAGATCTATTATGAATTCTCTATAAATTTTCTAAAAACAATAACGGAATCTGTTAATAACAGAAAAATACTAACAATTTCATTTCACCTTGTAACATGTCGAGCAAGTTGTACATCTTTATGTGAATATATGTTATTGTAAGTAAATGACATTTTGTCTTGGCATATAGACATACATCATTTTATAAATGGATTTTGATACATATATAAAAGATAACAAATTGTTATAATCAAAGTACATCCATTTCATACGAACATTTAAATAGACTATTTTAAAGATAGTTTACGTACATTACCACTACTACCCTTGTTTTGATAAACTATAATAGGTTTGCTTTATGATACATTTCATAACACTCTCATACAAAAAGGGTACATTTATACAAAAAGGGATTTTCATTACATTACACGTAAATTCGTTAATGACTCTGTGAGACATTCGCTTCACATTTACCAATAAGTCATGTATTGTAACCAGAGTCTCCTAGAGGGAGAGCATGATAGTTGTATATAGATCTATATTGGGTTTGAAAAACCAACACCTTAACTGCATGCAACAGTTAGACCAGCATGTTTGGGGTGACAAACGTCATAAACATTTTTGACGCCTGAAGAACGTCGTTTCAGGCCAACTAGGTCATAGCATGGTTATAATAACTCACAGAAAGTATTAATAAACAAAAGAATTTACGGGAATTTTGT